TTTGCTCTTGTTACCCAGGCTGGAGTGCAATGGCACGATCTCGGCTCACCGCAACCTCCGCCTCCTGGGTTCAGGCAATTCTCCTGCCTCAGCCTCCTGAGTAGCTGGGATTACAGGCACACGCCACCATGCCCAGCTAATTTTTTGTAGTTTTAGTAGAGACGGGGTTTCACCATGTTGACCAAGATGGTCTCGATCTCTTGACCTCGTGATCCACCTGCCTCGGCCTCCCACAGTGCTGGGATTACAGGCTTGAGCCACCGCGCCCGGCCTCTTTTTTTTTTTTTTTTTTAAGACAGTGTCATGTCTTACACTGTCACCTAGGCTGGAGTACAGTGGCACAATCATAGATCACCGCAGCCTCAGTCTCCTAGGGTTAAGGGATCCTGAGACTCAGCCTCCCAAGTAGGTGGGACTGCAGGTACATACCACCACGGCCCAGCTAATTTTTTTTTTTTAGAGATAGGGTCTCACTATGTTGCCCAGGCTGGTCTCAAACCCCTGGGCTCAAGCACTCCTCCCACCTCAACCTCCCAAAGTGCCGGGATTACAGGTGTGAGCCACTGCACTCGGCCTAGTGTTCCTAATTGAGTATAGTAACGCTTAGATAGTTCCGTAGAAAAAGGGATAAATGAATTGCAATGGACATGTAATTGAATTGGTAGATGGAAATATGAATGGAAATGAAATTTATGTTACAAAGAAAAAAATTAATAACAAGTTTCAAAATGAATCTTCAGTGTGTTTCACTTACAGCAATAACTACATAGAGCTTCTGTTGGACCGACCCTCTAGCAAACAACTAGAGAGAAGCTGACACTTAGAAGAAGGAAATTGTATTGATTGATTTCCCATTTCACAACTTCTAGACTAGGAAAGGCCCTAGTCTGTACCATATAGGGTAGCTCAAACTTCAGTGGGAAACATTTAGTCTTTCTGGTCTTAAAAACCAGAAGACAGAGGTGTTTTTTTTGTTTGTTTTTTTTTAATAGACAGAGTCTGGCTCTGTCACCCAGGCTAGAGTACAATGGTGTGATCTCAGTTCACTGCAACCTCTGCCTCCCAGGTTCAAGTGATTCTTCTGTCTCAGCCTCCCAAGTAGCTGGGATTACAGGTACCCGCCACCACACATGGTGAATTTTTGTATTATTAGTAGAGAGAGAGTTTTACCATGTTGGCCAGGCTGGTCTCGAACTCGTGACCTCAAGTGATTCACCTGCCTCGTCCTCCCAAAGTGCAAAAGAATTTGAGGCAACAATAGCTACTAGAAAGTAAAAAGAAAGGCCGGGCTTGGTGGCTCATGCTTGTAATCCCAGCACTTTGGGAAGCTGAGGTGGGTGGATCACTTGAGGCCAAGAGTTCAAGACCAGCCTGGCCAACATGGTGAAACCCCATCTCTACTAAAAATACAAAAAATTAGCTGGGCGTGGTAGTGCGTGACTGTGGTCCCAGCTACTCTGGAGGCCAAGGCACGAGAAATGCTTAAATCTTGAGAGGCAGAGGTTGCAGTAAGCTGAGATTGAGCCATTGCACTCCAGCAGTCTGGGTGACAGAGCAAGACTCTGTCTCAAAAAAAGAAAGTAAAAAGAGAATCCCGGAAATAAGTGAGCCACAAAGGAGTAGTTCCAAATTCTGTTCATAAATTCTGTCCAAATCTCTGACACTTTAGCCATGCAGATGCAAGGCAGACTCCAAATAGCCCAGGTAAGGATATAAAAACTGATATTTGATTAGGTATGGTGACATGCACCTATAGTCCTAGCTACTTGGGAGGCTGAGGTGGGAGGATCGCTTGAGCCCAGGAGGTAAGGTTACAGTGAATACCGATAGCACCACTGCACTCCAGCCTGGATGACAGAGCAAGAAATTCTCAAAAAAAGAACAAAAACACCCTGATGTTTGAGAGGCTGTCCAAAAGATAGAGTTTTCTATTAGAGTATAATCAAATTAGGTACCTGATAAAACGAAAAAGATAACACTTCCGAGGAATGTAATGGGATCCAGACTCTCCACATACAACATTCACAATGTCTATAATGCAAACTACTCAGCATACAACAAAACAGACCAGTCTGACTTACTCTCAACAAAATAACAATCAATCAAGACCCAACTTCAGCATGACTTAGATGTTGGAATTAGCAGACAAGGATTTTAAATACCCACCTTCATTATTTGACCAAGAAATAAACATCTCTTGTATTTGAGTTATTATATTGTTTTGTGTTTATAGCATCACCACAACTAGTACAGAAAATGATACATTGAAGTAGGGTGCTACCTTAACAGAAATGAAAATAGTGTATAGCAGCCATTATAACCATACTCAGTGACAAAAAGGAAATATGTTCATATTGAATGAAGAGATAGAAATCTTGGCAGAGAATAGAAACTATGAAAAAGAAACAAATGGGCAGGCGTGGTGGCTCATAGCTGTAATCCCAGCACTTTGGAAGGCTGAGGCGGGCAGATCACGAGGTCAGGAGATTGAGACCATCCTGGCTAACACAGTGAAACCCCATCTCTACTAAAAAAACAAAAATTAGCCAGGTATGGTGGCCCACATCTGTAGTTCCAGCTACTCATGAGGCTGAGGCAGGAGAATTGCTTGAACCCAGGGGCGGAGGTTGCAGTGAGCCAAGATCATGCCACTGCTCTCCAGCCTGGGTGATAGATAAAGACTCTATCTCAAAAAAAAAAAAAAAAAAAGGGATAGAAAAGGAAAAGAAACAAATGGAAATTCCACATCTCAAAAATATAGTAATTCACTGGATGGGGTATATATAATGAAAAAAAGCAAGGCGCAGAACTGTGTGTATATGTGTGTATAATGTTAATTGTGAAACGAAGGTAGCATAAATGTGACTATTATATGTATTTGCTTATATTTGGAAATAAACCAAAAGGATTAAAGATACTGATTTATATATATTGTCAAACGTGGAATCTACCATGAAAGAGATGTAAAACTAGAATCAACAAGCATATGCTTTAGAACATGTAGATGAGGGAGATATCTGGGCAAAGTGCCTCTTAGGATGTCTACTAAGTCCAATTCTTAGTATTTAAACCGCTGGACACAGATCTAGCTATTCTGTAGCCTAGTTGTATCAGATGTATGGATTCTGCATCATGAAATGAACATCCTGTGTTCTGAGAAGCTTGAATAACCTTTTAAGTCTTCTCTTTGTGTGTTCTATTTTCTAGGACCTCATAGTTGACCAGACGATAGAGAAAGTTTCTTTCTGTGCCCCAGATAGGAACTTTGATAGAGCCTTTTCTTACATATGTCGTGATGGCACCACTCGTCGCTGGATCTGTCACTGCTTCATGGCTGTCAAGGACACAGTGAGTCCAACAAATACTTATTTCATCATGAGTATTCTCAGTTAGCTGGGCTCTTTCTGGGTTTGCTCATCCAGGAGGTTTCCACTACATTTTTAACAAGTACATGCTGCTACAGCTGTTCTTGGAAGTACCTAAACTAGCCTACATTTGGCTCCTCTTATTCAAATAGTTCACACTCGTGGTGTAACCCTGTGAATTGCAACTCACAGAACAAAATGATCCAAGATCATTAAAAGAAGGTAAAAATGGTCTGGTGATAGTGGTTGCTAAACTTTATTTGAAACTTTTAATTATTGGAAGTATTTTCAGGGCTCTTAAATGTATTTGTTTGCTGACACATATGGATATGGTATTAAAAATGTATTTGTGGGCCGGGCACACTGGCTCAAGCCTGTAAGCCAAGCACTTTGGGAAGCCCAGGCGAGTGGATCATGAAGTCAGGAGTTTGAGGCCAACCAGCCTGGCCAATATGGTGAAACCCTGTCTCTACTAAAAATACAAACAATGATCTGCGCCTATAGTTCCAGCTACTCGGGAGGCTGAGGCAGAAGAATTGCTTGAACACGGGAGGTGGAGGTTGCAGTTAGCCAAGATTGCACTGCACTCCAGCCTGGGTGACAGAGTAAGACTCTGTCTAAAAATAAAAAAATGTATTTGCAAAGAGACTACTACAAATGAAGAAACTTAGCTGGGCCTGATGGATCACTCCAATAATCACAGCACTTTGGCCAAGGTGGGAGGATCACTTAAGACCATGAGTTGGAAACCAACCTGGGTTACATGGAAAAACCTCATCTTTACAAAGTTAAAGAAAAAAGTTAGCTAGACGTGGCGGCGCATGCATGTAGTCCTAGCTACTTGCGAGGCTGAAGCGAGTGGATCACTTGAGTCTAGGTGTTGGAGGCTACATCGGGTTATTGTGCCGTTAGACTCTGGCCTGGGTGACAGAGTAAGACCCTGTCTGCAAAAAAAAAGAAAAAAGAAAAAAAAACAACCGAGTTGGAGTATACTTTCAACTATTATAAAAACAGAAATACTAGCCAGGCACCGTGGCTCAAGACCAGCCTAGCCAATGTGTTAAAATCTCATCTCTACTAAAATACAAAAAAATTAGCTGGTGTAGTGGCATGTGCCTGTATTCCCAGCTACTCAGGAAGGCTGAGGCAGGAGAATCGTTTGAGCCTGGGAGGCGGAGGTTGCAGTGAGCTGAGATCGCACCACTGACTCCAGCCTGGGCAACAGAGCAAGACTCTATCTCAAAAAAAAAAAAAAAAGAAAAAAAAAAAACAGAAATACTGGCCAGGCATGGTGGCTCACACCTGTAATCCCAGCACTTTGGGAGGCCAAGGTGGGTGGATCACCTGAGGTCAAGAGTTCAAGACCAGTCTGCCAACATGGTGAAACCCTGTCTCTACTAAAAATGGAAAAATTAGCCAGGTGTGGTGGCACATGCCTATAATCCTAGCTACTTGGGAGATTGATGCAGGACAATCACTTGAACAGGGAGGCAGAGGTTGCAGTGAGCCAAGATTGAGCTATTGCACTCCAGCTTGGACGACAGAATAAGACTCCATCTCAAAAAAAAACGGAAAAAGAAATAGGCCAGGCACGGTGGCTCACGCCTGTAATCCCAGCACTTTAGGAGGCCAAGACGGGTAGATCACTTGAGGCTGGGAGTTCAAGATCAGCCTAACCAACATGGTAAAACCCTGTCTTTACTAAAAATACAAAAATTACCTGGGTGTGACGGCAGGCGCCTGTAATCCCAGCTACTCAGGAGGCTGAGGCATGAGAATTGCTTGAACCCAGGAGGCAGAGGTGACAGGGAGCCAAGATCACATCACTGCATAGCCTGGGTAATGAAGCAAGACTCCATCTCAAAAAATAATAATAATAACTAAACAGAAATAAGTTATGGTAGAATGAGCAATGCTAGAAATTGTTGTACGTTAAAAGTTTTGTTTTAAAATAGAGAATACTTTCATTCTTTATGTAAATTATCCCAAATTCTAATATGAAAGACAAATCTCTTTTATATGACAATGATTTTACTCTAAATTGAGCATTTCAAATCTGAAAATCTGAAATTGTCCAAAATTCTAAACTTTTTGAGCACCAACATGACACTCAGCAGAAATACTCATTGGAGCATTTTGGATTTTGGATTTTCGGATTTGGTTTGTCAACTTTATAATGCAAATATTCCCAAATCTGAAAAAATCTAAAATCAGAAACACTTCTGGTCCCAAGCATTTCAGAAAAAAGATACACAAACTGTATGTACAGCAAGGATTCAGACAGAATAGGCAATATAGCCATTTATGAAGGCTACAGGTCAATCTACAAGTTTAATCTGGAAGAAAAGTAGTGGCCATGCTCTAAAAATTGACCAAAATTGTTTAAAGCTGAAACATTGGTGTAAACAAATGCTAAGTAAGAGCTCAGGCTCTGAGTCAGATATGGGTTTTAGTCCTGATTCCAGTTCTTACTAGCTGTGGGATTTGGGGCAAGTTACTAAACATTCTCTGTCTTGGTATACGGTTCTATAAACTGAGAAAACTGTTGTGAATACTAAATTGGATAATGATTATAAGCACAGTTAACATAGGGTCTGGCCCACATTAACTGCTCCAAAAATTTTAGCTAATATTGCTTAAGCTGTTCTTCCTTGGTTTGACACAGGTGCTTTGAAAATCTGTTGAAGTAATTAAACTATGCTTTTTTCCTGTTTCTCAGACCCTAAGCAAACCCACAAATGATATATTTTGCTATCACTTTCCAGATACTAGTTTAAAAACCATTTTATTTTCAAATCATGGCCCAGCAGGCTATTTGAATCTCTTAGTTGTGTATCAAAATCACCTGGTAGATTTGTTTTAAAACATAGATTGCTGGGCCCTTCATCCAGCGTTTTTCATTCAGTGAATTTGGGGTTGGGGCTTAAGAATTTGCAGTTACAAGTTCCCAGATGACGCTGTTGGTTGGCGATGAGGTCAGTCTTCAACAACTTCTGCCCTAGGCCTAGGAGAAAGAATAATCTTCCTTGACCTGTAGCTCTGTCCTTATAGTAGAGCTGTGTTCAGATGCACACACATTCTAAGAATCTTTCAGTACTCCTGTTTCATGTTTAACATCTGGCCTAATATCATCCTACTAGGAAGTTAGATGGAAATTCATGTGGATTCATAGAGTAAATCTGTCAGTCTTTAAGTGGTCAAAAGTTTTTTAAAAAGTTTAAAAGTTTTAATAAAGTACTCAAACATAGTAAAATCTTAGGGATATAAGCATTTTAAATATTACTTGTCCTTATCACTAATACTGTCAGACAAAATCCAGTGAAACGACTTGTTCAGAACCATATGTAGAAGCAACTGCCTACGTGGTGTGATTTTGAGAACACCACAAAAGACTTCCTGTTCCCAAATATCTCTTTTCACTGTGAATAATGCCAGCAATTATTATACCATTTCTAGCTTTTTAATCCCACAATTAGCAGAATGGTTTAAAATACAGATAACCCTGCTAAAAATAATCCATTGAATTTGTTAAATTGA